TCGCGAGAAAGGCGTAGAGAGAGAGAGAGTGAGAGAAAAAGAAGAATCAAGACGGTCGAAAAAATGAGGGGAAAGAAGGCCAAAAGCGTGGGATAACCTTTGGTGGACTGTGACGTCGGCATGCAAAGGAATTAAAAGGGAAGCAAACATAACCTTCATCCGGCTCGGCCCCAAAAACGCGTCGGCTCCAAAACGGCTCGGCTCGGTGGCCAAACGGCTTAGGAACAGTGTTAGCAATTCCCCACTTTTAATATTGTAAGGGATTTGAGGTTATGGACATCTGTTGCAAGCCTCGCTTTGGCCAATATTGTAAAGTACACTGCACAAAGTAATTAATGTGATAGTCCTACAAGTGACGACACTCGTCAGATTATAAATTTTCAACCTATGGAAGCCACGTGCATATGATGGCTATGGATTGAAATGATTGTTCTTTGACAAGTGAGTTGTTAGAATAAGGTCACGTGTCAAGCATCTAGTAAGCCTCGACTCATCTCTCTTGATTATAAATACTCACACCTAATGTCATTTAAAGGTAACTGAAATTGAGGTAAAATAGTTTTCTCAAACCTGACACTCATATTTTCGTCCATTATGTCTTTCACGCACTTAAATATTGTTTTTCATTATTGTCATGTCATGTGGATGGAGAAACCGATTCTCCTTATAATAAAGACTATTTTCTCTTTTGGTTTGAGATTGAATATTAAAATGGGATGAGATAAAAATATCGAAAAAAATTATATGTACAGATTTTTTGTTTATAGAATTTTTATATGTGCCTGAAGCTATTGTTTCCTCAATTTCTAAAGAATTTTCGCTGAGTCTTACAAGTCAAAAACTTTCAGTGCACCAATTCTATACGTGTAGCATTGGCCAAAAATATCTATCGAGCACTACTGAAATCAAACCGAGCATTTTCTTGATAATTTTAACTGATGTCAAAGGCTAGAAATTGAAAACGATCTATCAGTGGGGCGTAATGCCTTGTTATGGCTTCCCAAAATCTCTCAATGGATACACGTTACACGTTTGAAAAACCTTTTGACTAGACTAGCTTTTCATGGAATGTTGAGTGAGCCTCTAAAATTGGAAATGGATAAATCAAAGGAACAACATATTGATTTAGAAGACCAAAATCGCTGGATTCATTCATTGCATTAACTATGTCTGATTCAGGCATGCTTCAACTATGCTTCATGAATTCTTGATAATCCAACATGAACGATCATTATGACAGTAACAAATTGTCCCAACAATACATGGTGACGTCAAAGCTCGTCTGGCCATATCATATTGTTTTGGTTCTACAGAACTCAGCTTATCTCATTGTTCAGAGCGGTGCAAGTGCGGTATGCAGCAATGCTGAAGTTGTTGAGTGAGAAAGTTCTTGGTTGAAAAACCTGGACCATCCGACATTG